CTCCGTCTGCCTCATGCAACAATCAAAGCCTCCCCCTCGTGCAAATACCTAGGTATTCAAATGGACACGAGACTCCGATGGGACTATCACCGCGAAAAGATGGAGGCAGGAGCAACGAAGCGGCTTTCAGCATTATCAGCACTGGCTTCATCGACATGGGGAATGGGTTTGGTCAACCTTCGACAGGTATACAGGGCGATGATCATACCTCAGATGCTATACGGGTGCTCAGCTTGGCACGTTCCCGGTAAAGGCCGCATAAATAGAGGCGCCTACATGATAGCTACCATCAGGAAGATCCAACGACGAGCAGCCCAAGTCATTACTGGAGCTTTTCGGACAACCGCGGGAGCGGCCGTAGATGTAGAAGCTCACCTACTTCCGGTACAACAACAACTTGAACAAACGGCTCTGGAGACAGCGATGCGTATTCAGAGAGCCCTCTGTATGAGGATATGGCTAAGGTTCCGGGAAATGTTAACATGACGAGATGGACACGCAAAGACCGTGATGAACACAGCCCTTTGGATCAACTCTCGAGCATCCTGGAACACAAATACGACTTGAAACTGGACAAACTCGAAAAACGCAAGCCGCATGTCGTCCCACCTTGGTGGATCCCTCCGTTCGTATGTATCAATGAATCAGCCGAGGGGGCAATCGAAGAACATGACGCCACAGATCCAGAGACCATATGCGTGTATACCGACGGAAGCGGAATCAACGGCCATGTTGGTGCAGCCGCGATAACACTGGAACCTCATATCCATGGCCTCCCAAATAAACGAACAGAATACATGGGAGCATCAAGCAAATCCACGGTATACGCAGCAGAACTTAGAGGGCTGGTATTAGCGCTCCAGATGGTACTTGACATCAATGCAGCGACAAACACACCCGGAAAATGCGTCATATTTACCGACAATCAGGCAGCGATCCAGGCAATGCGGAATCCCAAGAGCCCATCTGGACAATACATCCTTGCTGAAGCTATACAAGCATTTGACAAGCTCCGGGACCTAGGATGGGAGATACAATTCCGATGGATCCCAGCACATGTCGGAGTGCCTGGCAACGAGGCAGCCGATAAAGCAGCCAAGGAAGCTACTGGATACGATCCAAGCCAACAAGCCTCGGTGGACCCTCCTCAAGAACCAAATTGGCTTCAAACTCTCACTGCCACCACGAAATCTATCATTCGCACAACGATGAAGGAGGAGTGGAAACAGTCATGGGTTAAGGCCAAGCATGGGAGAGAACTCTTCCGACTTGGAATCCGGCCAGGAAAGAAATCATTAAACACCCATACAGATAAACATAGAGCGATCAGCTCCGTGATCACACAGATGCGGACAGGCAAAATAGGCCTCCTGGCCTACCTCCACGGAATCAACAGAGCGGA